TTTTATTGCGCGATCCTAATTAAATAATTTAGTGTCATTGAACCTAGACATAGAAGCAGAACATGTATTCTGTGTTTCTATTATAATTTTTGGCTAAACAGATACAAACACAGACAATATAAATAGAATGCGTCATATCGTGTTCTGAATACTATTTATTTAAAATATATTTGTTCCGATCATGATCAGAAATCAACTCCTTGCCCAGGTTACTTATTCTTCTTTAAAATAAAGTAAAGAATGACAATCATTGTGTATGTTAATCCCAAAACTTTAAAAGTTTGAGCTTACAAAACTTACATTGCGGACATTTTTAAGTCATCGAACTCGCTTTGTTTTTGTTCATATAATTGAAATAATAAAATTATACACATTTTATGCTTTCATTTGGGTAATGTGATAAAATTATGAAGTCTTGTTTTTTCTACATGCCCAATAGCATTTTTATTTAAGCTTCATGTACCCTATTTATTTATTTTCATGTACCCTATTTTACTACAACATTATCCACGAGTAGGTATTAAGTTCTTATATTGATACATCATGCAATAAATATTTAACTCTTAAATTATGTATAAATGTATTTCACAAATATAAAATTGATCTACCGATAAGGTCCACCAATTTTTCTATATCAAGAATACAAATTGAAACACATCTTTTAACTTAACCACACGTATTGCGTAATTTTTTAAGAGTCACCTCGCTAACTCCTAAGGAGTAGATACAAATTGATAGATGTTGCGGTTACCATTCATATTAATAAAAAATAAAATCATCAATATTCTGAATTTTTAAACGTTGATAGACCTAACATACTAAATAATATAGATTAAAAGCCAAAAAGATATTAGGATTTCAACCAGAATACGTTATGATCCCTGAGGAATTTTTATTAGAATATAAAATTTTGATTTCAAATCAAAATGCCCAAATAGTATAGTTATAAAAATCATTTTTATTTTTAAAATGTACTCTTTTATACTTTTTATTATATTCAGTTGACTTCTTTTAATAAAAAATATAATTGGTATGCACTTTTAGATGCAATACATTAAATGCAAAAGGTAAACTTTTGGTTCTAAATATTAACATCATGTATACTGCATTTATTTCCATATATTATAACGTGTCTTCAGTCTGATCCATATATGAGTGCCAAATAAATTACATTATAAAGTTTCTCAAACTACCACAACATTATTGATATATTTGACACTTGATTAAACATTATATGTTAAAAGAAAAATTTAGAATGAGGACTACTGATGTGTCTTTTCTAATGGCTTCTGTTTAATTCCTTTGTAGAATTAGGTTGTCAGGATCATGCTATTAATTGATAAAAAATTAGGCGTAGAAGATATGGTGAGTCTTTCAGGTAAATTAACATTAAATACTTATTTCTTTAATATCCCAGTACCTGCGAGGGGTTCCTAGGATTTCCTAACAAATAAAATGCAAGTTCTGTAACGGTACGTTTTACGCTCCACTCACACTAGCAGCGTGCTAAGTTTTATGGTACAGAATCGGTCAGAGTAAGTGAAACCATTCCTTTTTTTTTAACGTATTCAAACTCCCGCGGGCCATCATACCACCGGGGTTTGCCATATTATGGTGTGTCAGAATCGGAACTACTAAAACCACACGGTGTGCCACTCTGCGCTTGTAACAGGAAGGATCCGGGAACTGCTGTTATTAAGACATCCGGACCCCTTCTAGCACCAGCCTGCAACGTTGCGAGCACCACCTTCACGAACATTCTCTATTTAGGCAACGTCCGACAAACGCGGACGGCGCCTCCTCGCGGCTGGCCCTTATGGCCGAGTTTAGATCATCCTCCCGGGCCCTCTCCGCCACCTCCTTTTGCGAGATGATGTCTTCGCAGAAGAATGCGACCGCGGTAAAACAACTGTCACTACAGGACCATGGAGCGTATGATGCCCGGTAGCGAGAAATCCCCTCCAATGACTGCAATGAGAACCCGACGATGCGACGCCCAAGCCGGGCAAATTGCCAGCGTGTTCTGAGCTTAGTCCTCACTGCAATCGCAGTGGTGACAAGTGGGACTTAAGGACCACGACGGGGCCCATGCAACAAGGGGGCCTCCGTTTTCTCCAAGGCCTCCGTAAGCCCAACTAGATGTGCAGCCTCTTAAAAGTTCGCCCCCAGACCGTGACCAAAGTATCATCGGCGTAACAAATCACACCCAGTCCATTGGAGAAAATCAACTCGAAGGACCCAGTCGTCTATCGTCGCTATCTTAAACAGGAGTGGTCCAAGGACAGACCCCTGCGGAACACCGCACGATATGTCGTGCGGTGTTTCGCAGGGGTCTGGTTCAACGACACCACCAATAGCACGCCACCACAGCTCACCGCCTCTTCGGTCACGGCCCTCAGGTGTAACACAGTGCCGACAGTCGAACGACCGGCTCGGAAGCCGAATTGGGCGCCCGACAAATCAGGACCGATATCGCGCAAAAAGTAAGTGAAACCATGCCACAAGGTTAATGGCTGGTTCCGATCACATTTCACTAAGAAGACTTTTTTTAAAACCGGTTAAGATGTTATATGCAACAATAATGCAATGAAAAATTCAAATAAGCGTATATAATTCTGACCCGCGCACTAAAGGGCCCGCTTGTATTCTTTCAGTTTCTTCTCGATAAACAAACTGAAGAAAATCTGTTGTGCAGAACTTATTAAAGTTTTCGAAGCGTACAAAAATCAAATTAACATTTTTACATTTATATATGTCACGATTATACCTCTACATATTCTCGAGAAGAAGAGTCAAAATACAGAGACGGACAGAGAGCCAACAATAAAATCATTTGAAAGATTTCTTTGTGAAAAACAGAACACCAAACATGAATAGATTATATTTTTGATAAAACAAAAACAAGTTAAAACTAAATTTATTTGTATTTAAAATTCTTACTTCTGTTAAAATAGATCAATTTAAAAAAAAATGCCGTTAAAAGTGCAAAGTTCAGCACATTAGAAATATCATAATAGTGTCTAGATACTATTATTAAACTTCTATTAAGCATTATCATAAATAAGTTGTAAGTATAAGGTTGTTATTTTTCTGGTTTTTAGAGTTCCGTTACTGAAATGGAAAAAATGAATGTATAAATGGAAAGAAACGACCCTTTTTTTCAGAAACGCTTGACGGTATAAAATTGAAATTAATATTAAATACTTTTGTCTCGCGCATTTGGAAATGTAAAAAATTAAGCTTCTAAGTCAATCCAATCTAACAATCATCATTAGCCTCCTGCCGTTGACTGCTGAATAAAAGCCTCCCCCAAGGAGCGCCAACCATCCCGGTTTTGGGTAATCGGCATCCATCCGCTACCAGCTATTTTCCTCAAGGTGTCGGTCCATCGTGCCGCAGGGCGCCCTACCCTGCCTGATCGCGGTTTCCACTCTAGGACATGTCAGCTCCAGCGACCATCAGTCCGCCTTGAGACATGACAGGCCCTCTTCCACTTCAGCGCGCTGATTCTCCGTGCAATGTCGGTTACTCTAGTTCTCTGTCGAACAGTTTCATTTAAACTAATTATACTGAATTGTATTTGAAATTTAAAACATATAAGCCCGTTCCTGTTAACAAAGAATCATGACATTTGTCAAGAAGAACATTCCCTTTTTTTAATTTGTTCTAGATTATGTAATTAAATAAGCACTGTATTTTGGTACTAGAGGTAATAATAGTATGATGCAACAATGCACCTGAACCTAAGTCAATTTAGTGGTATCTTTAAAACGTATAGTCTTATAGCATTTCCTCTGAAATTGGCCGTTACCATGTTTAGCTGACCATTCATCACTTTGTGGGATCACAAGTGAGTATGTACTAAAGCTTTATACCTATTTAAACTGCGTATACACTTTCATCGTATCAAGTAATGCAGTAATTTTAAAATAGTAAAATGGAAATTCAACTTAGCTTCTCATCTTAAGATTTAGAATCAAGTCGAATATAGTGCAGCATCAAATCTTGAGGACTATGGGATAATACATTTATAACCTCTAGTTTGAAAAAAATGATAGGCAAATTCGGAAAAACCTTTTTTTGAAATAGCACAATTTACCAATTGAAATAGTAGACCAAACGAAAAATTAAACCCTAAAAAATTCAAATGTTTCCTTAACTATCTTTGTGTGGATTTTATTTATTTTAAATTGTAATTAATTTATCTCTTAAATTAATCTCTTAAAAAAACCTTCGAAGACGTTATCTCCCAGAAGGAGGCGGTGGAGAGGGCCCAGGAGGATAATCTCCACTCGGGCCCAATTCGCCGCCGACGAACCAGGCAGCGAAGGAGCGCTAACCAGTGCCTCATGCCACCCGTCATAACGGCTAGCCGCGAGGAGGCTATAGATATAATAGAGAATGTAACCGAGCAGGCGCTAGGAGGGTCCGGATGACTTAATAAAGCAGTATCCGGATCGATCCTAAATTTGGCTAATAGGCCAAATTAGTCAAAATTTGGGATGGTATAAGGTTGGTTTCAAGTTCAAACTTTTAATTATAAACACTCGTTTTTAATTCTTTGATCTAAGTTTATTATTTTTTATCTGTAGGCAAGGCGAAAGTTATAAACAAGAAGTTTTCAGATAGAAATAGAAATGATTTCAGATAAACGATGCAATCGGTCTTTCTTAAAAGAAAAATAAAATTCACCATAATACTGCTTCCAAATGGTTAAAAATATTTCCCAGGGAGATGATGAACCACTATTATGTATAAATGAATTCATGCGGACTACAGTGTGTTTAAACGTCACTGTTCTCAACAGTAGCATTTTTACTGAAGATGTTACTCTAATATTGAGAAACGCTGTCCTAATGAATTAACATCAAACAAAACGTAATAAACGAGACCAACTGGACCGTAAAGTATTATAAAATTAGATTAAAAAAGGTATAAATACGCATTTATCTATTGAAGAGCACATTCTAATGTCATAAGGTTGCTCGATACCAGCGGAAATGCGCGTGTTTTTGGTAAGTATCGAGTGATACTTTGAAATCAGAAAACCTTTTATAAAAACAGTAGACAAAATTTATGGTTTTAATTATGTTACAATTAAAATTTGGCATTTATCAAAAATAAACGTCGTCTTTTAGTGTACATTTTAAATATTACATAGTCACTTTAAAAAAATTAAATATAGTAATATCTACGTTTTTTTGTTTAGGTATTTAGCCTGTCACTGGCTGTAGCCCTGGGAGACGTCCTGAGTGGTGCAAGGTAAAGTACTTCTTCTCAATTGTTCCTTACATTATTGATCATTATTTAAAAACACTCGGATATAGAAACTGCTATAGGGATAACAAATCAAAGATGTGATTTCTTTACGAGTCTAAACCATTATCATCTAGCAGCTAAATTTATATATTGCATGATACTAATGGAAAATTTAAAAGGAAAATCAGTAAAAATTGCCTCGTTTTATTTAGAAATAAAATATTATACTGGATCATTCAAGAAGTGTTCAAAATTTCATATTGAAAAGAATTCTAAATTATTTAAATTTTATAATAATTAAACATTACATTATAAATTACTTTTTATTAATTTTTATAAATTTTCATGCGTTTAATTTTATTTGGGTTTATTATAATTTATATTATTATTTTCAGATGAGTGAATATTGCATTACATATTTTAACGTATTCTATTAAAAATTATATACTATGTTATCTATAAATAAATAACATTAAATAAAAGCACTATAACATACCTATAGGGTACCTAACCCTATGTTTGTGATGTTATAGTGTTTTTCGATAGTTCGTAATAATTTTTAACATAATTTCAGGCAGGCAGGCAAAAATAATTAACTTATAAATATTCGGTGTCAATGTGCCTTCATCATAATGAACTCGTATTGTTAAATACTGTATTCTCCATTCTTCAATTTTCTATTTTTTCTCTATATTTGAATAGAACTAAAAAGGAACTACCCTTTCAAATAAAAATAAAAGAATTACACAAAACGATTCATAAAAGTAACGTTATGGTAATAGTTCGTAACTACCATAAAAATACAAAACGAATTGTGTTTTTTTTGAAGTCGGTTAATAATATAAAATGTGGGAAATATGGGAGACAAGGCAACCTGGCATTTTACTTTTAATTCAGGTTTAAGCAAACGTTATATCACAAATATACAGTGGTAAAGACTTATCCTTTGAAAAAAGGACCGAATTTCAAAATTTTTGAAGTTTTTGTTTTATTTCAATGGCTTTTCTCTATAATTTAAAAGCAACATATTTATTTTTAACCGACTTCAAAAAGGAGGGGTTATCAATTCGGATGTTTATATTATATTTTTTTAATGTACGAGTATTTTCGGGCATAACTCCGTCATATACTTATAGACGGATTTTTTAAATTCTTTTTTGTACGAAACGGGTTTATTCCGACATGGCGCCATTTAAATTTCATACAGATCTGATGATGAGTGAGAAACAGACAACGGAACTCTTCAAAAATTGACAGTAAATCAACTGCGATTGCTGCTAGGCTTTTAGTGCTCTTTGTTAGTATTGCTTGAAGTCGGTTCACTTTTTTTAAAAGGATTTATTCAAGATTTGTTGGTTATTAGCTATGATTTTAAATCTCGTGGCTTGTGAATTTATAAGGATTTTGAGCGCATAAGCGATTTTTGCTTTTATATTTATCAATCACACGAGCGTGTACGGTTACCGTATTAAAAGCAGTTGCTTACGAAAACCCCAGAGTACTCAGAGTATTTGCGTTTCAATATGAGCCTCCGACTGTAAAAAACCCACAGTTTACTGTTTCACCTCAGTCATTAAGACTACGTTCCAGTGATGGGTAATCACAGCAAATCAAACATGTATTGTGACGAGTTCTTGTATAGTGTTCATATGACGCGTTCCAAGGCATAGAACGCGTAAGCTGCAGTTCAGTACGAGTTCTGTATTCATGAAAAATCCCTATAAAAATAATGTGAAATGTAAATATAATTTAAGTAATCTAATATCTCCGTGTTTATACGACACATAAGAAATTGCCGATAAATGCTAAACGTATGGCAATCCGGAGCAACTATCTAAGCGCGAATACATAGCCGTGTCAAGCGTGCAGTGAATCAAACCACGTTGACATATGAACGATTTGAACAAAACACACATTCCTATTAACTAGTTTTAACATGCTTTAGTAAAACGCAAGTTCCACACACATCACCTGAATATGTTCAAAATATCTATGTAGACATTTCCATAGGATTGCCGACACTTATTCTGCTGCGACTGAAATTAGTAATCAAGCAAGGCGACAGAGGTTTTTGTATGCAAAGTTAAAAGTATGACGAAACCTTTTTGAGTGAAGGAGATAGTCATTCTGCATAATAGTAATTGGATGATTTTTCTCCACCTTGAAATGAGCATGCCACATAGTATATATATATCTTGTAATCAGTTTACAAAACAAATTTAAATACTATTGCAGAATCAGCCCCTACACGACCCCAACGACAAGGCGGTACTATTATTCGTCACCACTTTCAATTCAAACCACTCCTTCACCACGAAGATACTACTATACTACACAACGCGTTAACGACGATTCTGGACGTTACTATGACGATGCTGGCCGCTACAACCCCAGCGCAGATGACTCTGGCCGTTACATACCTGATAACTCTGGAGCTTACAAGTCAGTACTTATTATCGATCGTAAGAAAAAGCAAGCTTTAACGTTATTGCTCTGGCTAAATCTTTTACTAAAACATCTTTTAAAATAAATAATAAGAACATAAAAAATAGTTCCGAATGAATCAATAATATGAAACTATCTTATATCATTTGAATGATGTTCCTTTAGTGGCGACCGAGGTGACCGTGGTGGTGCAGGCGGTTTCTACAGTGGTTCAAGTAGTGCGGGCGGTCCTGGTGGGGCTTATTCCGGGTCTGGTAGCGCAGGCGGCCCTGGTGGGGCTTATTCAGGTTCTGGTAGCGCAGGCGGTCCTGGGGGGCGTTATTCTGGTTCGGGTAGCGTGGGCGGCCCTGGCGGCTTCTATAATGATGATTCTGGCAGATATGTTCCTGACAACAGTGGCAATTACAAGTGAGTACACATTTACTGGCTTATACTATTAAAATATTAGCATTTAAATATTGTCATCGTAGGCCGTATCATGATTCCTTTTGTAGAATTGACCAATTGCGTAATTCGCTATATAATTAATTAATAAACCTAGCTGATAAGCAACAAACAACCTAGGATATTTCGGAAATTATAGATCACCATAATTCAAAATACTCTAACTTTAATTAACCTTCTACTAGTGGCGACCGCGGTGACCGCGGCTCTGCGGGCGGATTCTATACTGGTGACAAGTCCAGCGGGTTTGGCAGCGGATCTGGTAGTGGTTCTAGTAGCAAACCGAGCAGCGGCGTTGGAATATATGGTGCCGGTTCTGCATCTGGATCTGCTTCTGGAGCAGGAAAAGGATCAGGATTGGGAGCCACTTCCGGAGCAGTATCTGGCTATGGATCAAACTACGATTACAAATACGGCATTATTCGCCTGAATAAAGAAGTTCAGCCTGATGGCTACCACTACCTTTATGAAACTGAGAATAAGATTCTTGCCGAAGAAGCCGGTAGATTAGAGCCTATTGAAAATGATAATGAAGGCACCAAAGCTAAAGGATTTTATGAATACGTCGGCCCTGATGGTGTGACCTATAGAGTAGATTACACTGCCGACGAAAATGGTTTCGTACCCTATGGAGCTCACTTACCACAGAATATATTCTCAAGTTCCTGATTTATATAAAAAAGTACATATACAGTATATGTTGTATTCCAATTTAACCTACTTTAATAAAATAAAGATGCTACTTACAAAGTCCATAAGTTTTTTGTTAATAATATAAATTTTCTGTCATTTGTTTTTTGTTTTATGCGATGAATGTGCATAGGTGTACTCAACATACAAGAGTAGTTTAGGTTGAAGTAAAAAAATTGGGTTCATAAGAAGTTATTTAAAAAGTACTTAATAACACTGATGATTGTAAAAAAAAAACATTTACAGTTTTTTTTAATGTTTGCTACATTTAAAAGGAAACTGTACTGCAGTAGTAGCATCTCCTCTCCAGTGACCTATTCATCTCATTTAAAATACAAAAAATATGAAGTATCATCACCTAAATTGCCTTCGTAAATATTACTTTATAATAACTCTTAGAGCCACACGTACGTTGTCTTTAAACTTTAAATCTTAAATTATCACCCAAAGTTTTAGTAGCGTAGTATTAAATCTAATTCTGCAATTATTCAATGATAAAATATGCCAGACTTTCTTAGTCTTTTATCAAAAGTTTTTCAAGATTCAAAAGAAGTCAAAGATATATAAAACAAGTCGTAGGAAAGCTCAACATCTAAAGAAATATAATGGTGTTGTTATATATTTATTAAATTGATCAGCTCAGTAGCCTAAAGAGCTTAATGTATTTAAAAAATACGTATATTATGAGACAGGCTGTAAATATATAGGTGAGAAAGATGTATAGGTGAGAAATAGAAAATATTTTATTACTATGATAATTAGGTTGTGAAATTAAAATCGCATAAAACCTTCTCAATTTAATCACCAAGTTATTAGTTGAATTTTACCACTAGAGAACATACAGATCCTAGATCCTGACCTGAACCTATTAAAATATCGTGTTGCCTTGTTATTTTTTTGTCGTGCATTTCTTACTTTTTGACTGCTGTAAAGATAAAATCGACCTTGTGTATTTCAAACCCAAACTTGGATATTATTTTTAATAACAGGTGTAGTGTGATAGGGATATAATATAATAATGCTAATAAAATGACTACATACGTACCAAAATAGGACAGCTAAGGCTGTCTATATATAATTCTCTTAAAATTCTATATATATATAATTCCGTCTTGCTTTTTTCTGTATAAATAAATGGCTTCTCATCCAGTAAATAAACCTGTTCTGTGCGTTCCTCAATATATTCAAGAAAAGTAGTCTTACAGAAAAAAGTTTTTCTAATTTAAAGAGGATTAAGTTGTGGACTCGCAACAATATAACGCAATATCATGTGCGACTCGACGGTAACAAAGGTACACTTTCTCACTAGACAAGATCAATTTAGAATGGTTTCGGTGTTATTGGGAGCCAATTTCAACTAGACTGTGTTCTAACTGAGTAATTAAGCACATATATATTTTTTTTAGGTTAAGAATTCCAAATTCAAATTTATAAATTCATTTAGATGGTACATTTGAGTTTTGAAAACAGTCATTCATTTGTTTTTTCCTCATTAGTTTTTTCTTTGGCGTCGCTTTTTACCGCACTATGGAAAACATGAAGTATCGGTATATTACGAGTTCTACCGTGGCACCAGTGCTGCAGAAACAGCTCGAAGGACTAATGATGTCTACGGTGCTAGTTTCGTAAAAGAAAGCACGGTACATTTTTGGTTTCAACGTTTTCGTAGCTCATGAATTGAGTGAATCGAACTTGCAAACACATGTCGACTGCTGTGTTACTTTTCTCAAACGACACAGGGATTTTAAGGGACACCGAAGAGATTTTAAATCGAATCATTACTTGTGATGAAAATTGGATACTGTACGATAATCAGAAGTGCGGGAGATAGCTACAGGCTTCAGGGTAAATGATAAAACTGTATTAATTCACTTGAAGCAAATCGGGAAAGTAAAAAATCTTGAACGATTTGTATCTCATGAATTGAGTGCTGTGTTACTTTGCTCAAACGACACAATAATGAAGGGATTTTAAATCAAATCATTACTTGTGATGAAAATTGGATACTGTACGATAATCGGAAGCGCTCGTCGCAATGGCTGAACCTGCCCTAAACGAAAATTGACTCAGAAAAAGTTACTTGTGAGTGTTTGGTGGACTAGCGCCGGTGTCGTTCACTACAGTTTTCTAAAATCTGGCCAAACGATTACGGCAGATATCTATTGTCAGCAACAGCAAACCATAAAGGAAGAAATAGCTGCCAAACAACCGAGATTGGTCAATCGCTCTAGGCCACTAATGCTTCACGACAACGCAAGACCACATACTGCACAACAAACAACCACTGAGTTAGATGAGCTGCAATTGCAATGTCTGCGACATCTACCGTACTCCCCGGACCTCGCTTCAACACATTACCATTTTTTCAGGAATTTGCACTACTTCTTACAGGGAAAAAAAATTAACTCCGATGCGGCAGTTCAAAACGCCTTCAAAGAGTTTATGGATTCTCGTCCCCATGTTTTTTTTTTGTAAAGGGATCAATGAAAATATGAGATGGCAAAAGTGCATAGATAACAATTTGCAGCATTTGCAGCAATTTGCAACAGCATACTTTAATTAATTTAATATATTCTACAAAATAAATGACTTTATATTCCACCCGTACAAAACGCCAATTTCCAATGTAAGGACCTAATATAATATGATGGAAAGATTGCGCAAAACCATCACTTCCAGGTCATGGTTTACTGTACCACTTTACTTATTACAAGGGAAGAATGATAATTATTTCGGAATAATGATAATGATAATTATCAACATAAAGGTACAATGTGATAACGCTTAGGAAAAATCTTATTTTCTTTTTTTTCTTTAATAAGACAACTCCCGCACTAGGAATATATCTTGTGTCGCGGGGAGTTTACAAACATTCAGGAAATGGACATAAAGAACACCAAGACTCAGGACAACTTTTTGTGAATCACACAGAGTGTTGTCCCATGTGGGGAATCGAACCCACAACACTCAGCACAGAAGGAAACGGCAAGGTGACCACTACGCCATCTGTGCAGTCAATGTTTCATTACCGCCTTTTTTTATTTATTAACTTTAAGAGTTGCAAGTTTTTAGTTGAAAATGTCTCTATATAGCGGTTATAAAGCGAGCAATTTTAAATAATCCTTATATTTATTTGAAAATAATGATCATGAAACCAATTAACTATTATAGTAAAACAATAAAAACAAGGAAAGTTGTTTTAAAAAACAAGTGGTTTATTTGTTTGTGAAGATTTCACATACGTCTCTTGTGGCAGTTAATAGTTTATTTTAGTCCTCATCGTTTATTTTGTCAATTGTCTTAGTTATTAAGAGCAACGGGGGACTATATAAATGCAATTGTAGGGCATATAATTTTATAAATACCGTTTCTATATTTACAAATCTCTCTCAGCATCAATATCCATGGAATATAATATGGCTGAGGGAAGGTAGAAGTACTTGATTTTATATAATTTTTATTAATATGTAAGGAATAATAGTTCATTTATTGCAGCTTGAGCCTGTTATTATAGGCCAGCAGTTTTCAGTCCCTACAATTTAACAAAAAAAAACAGTTTTTCACCGAATTATAGAGTCGCGCGTACCTCTTCTCAAGAGAGGATTAGACCTTACTTGTTCTCTAACATCCGATATTATTCAATGAAAGGCATAACAATAGACCGACCATGATCTTTTTTATAATAATGCTCGTATAGTATACAAAAGCTCTGTAAACTCTGTCTATTCCAAATTATAATAACAGGTTTATTTTACAAAACTGTACTGGCTTAAAAATGTCTACTTAGAAAATACGTTTCATATAAAAAACAAAACAAAATCCACGAAGGGAATTCAATCATTGCCAACTAAAATTGTCACTGAAATTGTTAAATTATGTTAACATAATTAAACAATTTTAGACAAATTTTAACATAGAAAAAAAATCATGATCCTTACTAGGTCTTTATTTTATGTTCCTAACTACAAAAATCAACAAAACGGTGTGGTGAAAATTTTGCAAGGTATATTCAAGGTATAAGGCATATTCCGTTATTAAACTTAACCGAGGTCTTATATTTTTATACTAAAAGTACAGGTACGTTTCGAAATTTCAACTACACGCGGCCATCACTTATGAAAAAGTCAAAAGTACTGTATATTATAATAACTAGCTGACCCGGCAAACGTTTTTCTGCCATTAAACATACTAAAATCCCTATTGACAAATGGGGTTGGGGTAGGAGGATTTCCACACGTTAAAAAAAAAAAAAAAAAAAAAAAAAGGAGGGTGAAAAACACTTTACGACCTATTCTCATATCTATCAAATATACAAATAAAAACATTAAAATAGGTCCAGCCATTTCGGAGATCTGCGACCACAAACACCGCGACACAAAATACTTATACATTAGATATGTATTACATACATAAGGTTCTAAGACAACTTCCACATACAATGAAAATAAAATCACACACACACCGAACTATGGAGTAACTACTAATCCAGCATCGCGCAATTACAGTGCCCCGAGCACGAACAACTTGCGAAAAAGTATTCGTATCGTCTTCGACAAAATTTGTATGACATTTGTGCAGCGCCCCTATCGTGCGTAAAAGTAACTAATTTTGGCAGCACGAACGTTTCGAATTTACTTTCGTATCGTCAAGCATTCGATACGTTACACTTTATAAAGAAAATTGGCAGCACGAACGAAATTTTGACGTACGTTCGAAGGCTGGCTATCGAGCACCTGTCGAGCTTAGTCGAATGTCTATTCACCTAAGATTTGGCCGTGAGAAATGTTTCGAAACAATCAATTTCTCTTAAAACTATTATTTTCAAGTATTAACGGTTAATTTTTTGTAGAGATAAAATGCAAAGACCGCCTCTTTAGTCCTATGTATGTTCTTGTCGCAAGTTGAATTGAAAATAAGATAGGATAGGAACTAGATTCGATCTTGTTTTATCTATAAAGTGTAAACTAAAAATTTGTCAG